CCCCTTAGTGAGCATTAAGTGATGTATAGAGAATGGATGGATATTTCATGGGGAAATATTGTATTTTTTATTCTACTACATTTATCTGACTGCTGTAGTTACCAGTTCCTTTACATCAGATTAAGACTACAAAAACCTATGATATAATGAATGATGTAAAACATAATAGGTTTTTATGCAGTAAATCAACCCCCTGACAGTATATAAAATTAGTCAAATCTGCTCTTCCTCAGTCAGCTGCAATATTTAAATTCTGCTTGCTTATTAGTACATTGGTAAAAATATTGCAGTAGCATTACATAGAAGAAGTGAACACTGATACAGTGTGGGTGTGTAACAATACTTCTACTTGTACATGTTCAGTAGATTTTCCTGAGAATACTTGCGTATGTTTACTCAAGGATTGGAGTGCAGCTCTTGAGCTATCCATCCATCCATCAATTATCTATACACCGCTTAATCCTCATTAGGGTCGCGGGAGCTCTTGAGCCAGAATTTTTGAATTTTGATATTGTTGCTTTTACTTAAATAAAAGGTCTGAGTACTTCTACCATCATTGATTGCATGTAGTGAGATGTAAGCATCATAAACTTTATAAAACATGTGAGTTTGGAAGGCTGAATATATCATGATGTCTAAAACCTTTGCTGCCATCTTGTGGAAAACTAATGACATGACCATCACAGTTCACTTTGCCCTACCAATGTGACCAGCTGTTTACATTGCATACATTCCTGCTGCTGTACATGAAACACACTTGTCTTGAACATTCTGAATCCTCCAACACAGCCTGCTGACTATGACTGGTATGTTATGAATGTGATCTGGAGGGATGTTGAGACTTTGGATTTCTGGTTTATGTTGAGCAATTTGTATTTTACAACACTTTTGTAATGGATTTCCTATGATGGAATTATTGAAAGCCATGCGTCTTTGTCACAAAAAAACAATCATGTTTTTTGGTTCGTTCATAACCCTAACCCTAATTAACCACGAAATAAAGAAGACAAAACCCAAAACATATACCCAAAAAGGAACCACAACTTTATCCAAAAACACAAACCAAAACCAACTGAAGGAAACAGAAACTAAAACCCATTCAGACAGAACAATAACACAGACCAGGATTACAAAACCAGAAAAGGCAACTAATCAACCATGAAAAAAACAAGACAAAATCCAAAACGTGTACCCAGGCAGGTGACCATGACCAACTGAAAAAAACAGAAACTAAAACCCTTTCGGGCAGAGCAATATGACACCAGCCAGGACAACATAATAACAATTGATTAATCAAACTACTGTGGAAAACAAAGACCAAAACCAGACCAACTCTGAAGGTGAGAGCCCAGCTTTTTGAGACAAACTCCCATAAAACCCAACTCTATTCCAAAACCCCTAACCCTCCGACCAGAGAATGTTACCAAGACGGCGACGGCCTCTCGCCAGGACATCCTCTCTTGTACTTTTGTACTCCAGCCGAGACCAGGGAATGCAACCAGGGGAACAATGGCCTCTTGCCTTACAAGTCTTCCCTTCACCAATTCCAAAACCTAACCCTAACCAAAAAAACACATCAGAAATCTAACACCCAAGATGACACTAACCTACAACAAAGTGAACAGAGAGCTTTGACGACGTGCGACGGCCAGTGCATTGCCTTTGCTTCCTACCCCAAACTGCTTTGCCGTCGGGCACGGCAGGGGAAATTATCGAGACGGATTTGAAAAACCTAAAAAATAAACATGTAGCAATGATAAGATTTGATTAAACGTCTCTTGGCCATTTTCACCTCAGCAAGGCACTTTTGGTAGCCATCCAAAAGTTTCTGGTTGTATCATGAACCAGAGCATAATACTGCCACCGTCATGCTTGGGAGTAGATACAATGTTCTTAGAGCTAACAGCTTCGCCTTTTCCCCTCATTTTGGCCAAATATCTCAGTTTTTGTTTCATCTTACCACAGAGATTTCCTCCAGAGAGCCTGTTGTTAACCCATGTGGTCAGCAGCAAGCTTCGGCTGAGCTTTAAGGTGCTGCCCCTAGAGGAAGGGCTTCCTTCTTGCATAGCAGCCTCTCAGTTCATGGCGATGTAAAACACATTTGGCTGTGGACACGTACAGTTGTGTTCCAGCAGCTTCTAAATCATTGCAGACCTGCTTTTGCAAAGTTTTCGGTTGAGCCAATTCTGACTAATTTTCTCTCAGCAGCAGGTGATAGTTTATGTTTTACTGAGGATCTTGGCAGTTACACAACTGGACCATAAGCTTTATACTTACAAACTATTGTTTACAAATGATTTTGGGATCTGTAGCTACCTTGAAATGACTCCAGGTGACTTTCCTGACTTGTTGAAGTGAGTGATTTGCATTTGCAGATTTTTGCTGAGCTCCTCAGACTGTCCCACTGTAGTGTTTGTGTCTGAGTCTAATGAGTGGATCAGATGGTTCTGTTTAAACTATCAGAGGAGTCAGCAGCTGGAGTTGATCAGAATCACTCAGGAGAAGATAAGAGATCATGTCACAAAGAAAATTTGATTACCACAGTTTTCTAAATCACTAAAACTGATCATTCAAGTTGCTCTATGAATATTTTTGACTCTGCAGATTGTCATGTTTCCCAAAAAGCTGCAATAAATCTATGAAAGAATACAAATGCACGATTGTTTATTTGTGAAAAATACGCATGGGTTGATTTACACAGCATCACTATTTGGATGCATATTTCTCTTTACTTTGTAGTGAAGGTCCTTGTTGCTAAATTGCCTAAATAACAAAAGCAGATAGTAGAAGGAGAACATGCAGTCTAGCATCATTCCAATGTTTTCCAGGTCCAGGCTTGGCGTTCATTGCATATCCTCAGGCTGTAGCCATGATGCCTCTGCCTCAACTGTGGTCCATCTGTTTCTTTGTCATGCTCATTCTCTTGGGTCTGGACACAGAAGTAAGATGCACATTTAGATGGACTCTTGGTTGTTGTTGTTGTTTTTTTGGAAACTTGAATTTATTTTTGGAGATTCACTTTTTGTTTCCTTCTTCGTCTTCTGTCTTGTCCCTTCTCTGTACAGTTTATCACCATGGAGGTGGTGATGACGTCCTTCACAGATCTGTTTCCCAAAGTACTGCGCAGGGCAGGCCGACGGGAGAGGTTCCTCATCCTCTTCTGCTGCCTCTGCTTCTTATGTCAGCTTTTCCTGATCACACAAGTCAGTATTTAACAATGCATTAACATTTATTATTTTTTTCTCTACTATGGAAGTATATATTGCTGCCAAAAATAGTTTTAAAATGACTTTTTTGCGACCTATAAAATTCAATTTGGTCTTAAATGGGCTTCTATATATTTGACAATAGACAATAAATGCATATCAAATAAATGTCCCTGCTGCTGTCCATAGGGAGGGATGTATGTGTTCCAGATGATGGACTACTATGCTTGTAATGGAGTCTGCATCCTCTTTCTCGGTGTGTTTGAAACGCTGGCGCTGGGACGGATATTTGGTAGGCATGCTGCTTTCAGAGTAATTCATCTATTTTTATGATATAGTTTTCGTGTAATTATATTGTGTGAAAATATGCAAAGGCCTACTTTAATTCATACTTAGTATTTCACAACCATGTGGTCTTATTTGATCATTATACACCATTCATCCAATCTCATATCTGCCATCAAGGGACGGAGCGGTTGTATGGCATCATCAAGGACATGACAGGGGAGAACGCCAGCCCGTTTTTCAAAATGTGCTGGCTCTACTTCACACCACTGGTGTCACTGGTAAGACAGGCTCTCAGTGTCAGGATGAACTCTTTGGTTAAGAATCAGCTGCAGACATTAACTGCAGTAGCACCAAACCATCTCCTTTTGTTTTTTTTCCCAGGGCACTTTTATATATTCTTTAGTTGAGTACCGGCCTCTGACCTTTAATCGCTGGTACGTGTACCCAGACTGGGTATATGTGTTAGGCTGGCTACTGACCCTCTCCTCCGTCGTGCTTGTGCCTGGATGTGCATTGTATAAGCTGAGCACTGGGACTGGGACTCTCAGACAGGTGGGACAACTGTGTACCTGACTATTATGGTCATCAGTGAAAGACAAAGACAAGGTGTTTGTGTCTTATGTAATGGAAAGCAAGTGTGCAATTTTAATCAAAATGCTAAAAGCATCATGTTTGATAGTTAGTGGGCAGTTTTATCATGATTCAAAAATACGCAACAGCTCAACTAAAACTGTGGACGTGACTGGACTTCTATGTTAAACAAACAAACAAACAAACAAAAAAACTAATACATGGAATATGAGCATATTCATTTCCAGAGTACAAATTACAGAAAAAAAGTGAAGTTTCCTGTCTTATAGACCTCCACACACATTCAGTGGGGACCTTCTACAAAATGCTGACTTGACAAAGGTTTCTTCATTTCACTAATGTTGAATCTCCCCAATCTACTACTTACGCAAGCACTTGTTTTACATTTCATAACACCTTGACATAAGAGTATTTTTTTGTAAATTGTCAGAAAAGTCTAATTATATTGACCATGGTTCATGTCACAACCATGATGAAACATACGAAGAGTGGAACGCTCCCAAGGGGGGTTAA